GGGGCCTGTGGCTCACCCTGTCCCTGCCCCCCAGTGGTGTCCATCGAGGACCCCTTTGACCAGGACGACTGGGAGACGTGGCAGAAGTTCCTGACCCAGGTGCCCATCCAGATCGTGGGGGACGACCTGACGGTGACAAACCCCAAGCGCATCCAGAAGGCTGTGGAGCTGAAAGCCTGCAACTGCCTCCTGCTCAAAGTCAACCAGATCGGCTCTGTCACCGAGTCCATCCAGGCGTGAGCAACCGCCGTCCAGCTCAAACCGGGGCTGGGAGCCAGGACTCCTGGGTTCTCTCCCTGGCTCTGGGAGGGGAGTGTGGGCTGGTGGGTTAGAGCAGCGGGGGCTGGGAGCCAGGACTCCTGGGTTCTCTCCCCGGCTCTGGGAGGGGAGTGGGGGCTGGTGGTTAGAGCAGGGGGGGCTGGGAGCCAGGACTCCTGGGTTCTCTCTCTGTGAGGTAGCACATGGCAGGACGGTTGCAGTGGGGGAGGACGGGGTAAGATTTGGATTGCTGCACTCACGGACCCCCCCGCTTCCCTTCCAGGTGCAAACTGGCCCAGAGCAGCGGCTGGGGGGTGATGGTCAGTCACCGCTCCGGGGAGACTGAAGACACCTTCATCGCTGACCTGGTGGTGGGGCTGTGCACCGGGCAGGTGAGCAGTGGGGAGGGCTGCACCCCCCTTCCCCCTGCACACCCCTCAGCCTCTAACCCTGGTTCTGCCTCTCCCCACAGATCAAGACCGGGGCCCCCTGCAGATCCGAGCGCCTGGCTAAATACAATCAGCTGATGAGGTAACGGGCCAGGGCCTGTCCCCTCTAGGGTGCACTGGCTGGCTCCAGGGGGTGGGGAACGGGGCAGGGGCCTGTCCCCTCTAGGGGGCGCCAGCTCCCACCCGGCCCCAGGGCGGGGACTGGCTGGCTCAGGGGGGTGGGGAATGGGACATGGGGCTCACCCCCCACCCTGTCTCCCCCCAGGATCGAGGAGGCGCTGGGCGACAAAGCTCACTTCGCTGGACGCAAGTTCAGGAATCCCCTGGCCAAGTGAGCCCCTCGGCCACCCCCCGAGCATCAGCATGGCCCTGCCCCACAGCCAGGGGCGGCACTGGAGGGCCGGGGCGGGGCCTGGACCCTCAGCACCAGGGCTCTACCCAGGGCACCGTGACGTGACCAGCGAGCGCCGCTGACACTCGGTCCAGCCCCATCTTCCCGCGGCGTCTGCGGGGCCCAGTTCTGAATAAAGGCACCGGGGGACACAGCGGCTGGGTGTGGTTCTTTCCTGGGGGCCCGGACGCCTGGGTTCAGTCCCAGCTCATGGGGGGCTGGTGGGTCAGAGCAGGGGGGCTGGGAGCCAGGACTCCTGGGTTCTCTCCCTGGCTCTGGGAGGGGAGTGGGGGCTGGTGGGTTAGAGTGGGGGGGCTGGGAGCCCGGACTCCTGGGTTCTCTCCCCGGCTCTGGGAGGGGAAGGGGATGCGAGGGGGGAGTGACAGAGGAGTTCTGCCCCCCCAAACGGGAGCAGTGGATGCTGGGGGGGATCAGGGGGTGTCTCCCGCAGAGCCCCCTGGCAGCCTGACCCCCAGCGCTGCGGGCAGGAAGGGGAATCTCTAATGGCTGCAGTACGGGGCACCTGACACACAGCTGCGCCCAGCTCCGGTCACACAGAGAGTTGCTCCACAACCCCAGCCAGGCAGGAGGAGCCAGGTCTATCGTGATTAAACAGAGACGGGTTTATTGGGGGCGATACAGCTGCTCTACGGCCCCCCCCTCCTTACCACCCACAACACATTGCTGGGGGGGGGGATCCCCAGGGATCTGGCCACCCCCCCACCGCAGCTCTGGGGATTGATTCTATTTACACTTAAATAACGAGCAAATACCCACCCCCCCAAATTAGCTGAGGGGCCTGGAGCTCCCAGCAACAAGAACAAGTTAAAATCCCCCCCAGCCAGCCCCACCCCCACCGGCAGGGATCCCCCCACCCCAGAGACACCAGGGTGCCCTCCCCTTTCCCCTCCCTCGGATTCCCTATGGGGCCCCATCACCCCCCTTGTGGGGGGAGCTAGGACCTTTCCCCATAACCCTTTGAAAGGGGAAGGGGGTGTAATTTCCCCAAAGATGGGGGAGGGAGGTAAGACGTGGGGGGGGATGACCCCCCAATCTGACAAGTGCCCTCTGGTGGCAGAAGTGGGATGCTGCAGCCTGTTGGATGGCCCCAGGCGCCCTCTGGTGGGGGAAGGCGACACTGCACCCAGATCTCTATTCCCCACCTCCCACCGCAAAAATAGACTTTCTCCCCCCCCCCAACTAGAAAGAAAAAAACAATTCCAAACAAATCACTTAAAATATGTCCCCGCCCCCAACTGAAAACCTAAAATCACTCCTAGGCTACGGGGTAAATACAGAGGGGGGGGGAACCCGGGGACGGGGGGGGGCGGGGCGCCCCCCCCCCCGCCAGTCAGGACACCCCAAGCAAGGTTCACACACAGCAGCAGGTTTCGGGTCAGTCCCTGCGATCTGCTCCCCGCCCCACCTCTCTGGGCAGGACGCCCCCCCCAGCACTAGGAGGTCCCGGCCCCGCCCGGCCCCTCGTCTTCACTCTGCCGCAGCCGCTTCTTCGCCCGGATCTCGTTCATGGCCTCCTCGATGGAGCGTGTGTCCCGCTTGTTGGCCACGGGAACTGGACGGAAGAGATGAGGGTGAACCCAGGAGTCCGGGCTCCCAGCCCCCCCCTGCTGTCATCCACCAGCCCCCACTCCCCTCCCAGCGCCGGGGAGAGAACCCAGGAGTCCTGGCTCCCAGCCCTCCCCCCGCCTCTAACCACCAGCCCCCACTCCCCTCCCGGGGCTGGGGAGAGAACCCAGGAGTCCTGGCTCCCAGCCCCCCCTGCTCTAACCCACCAGCCCCCACTCCCCTCCCAGAGCCGGGGAGAGAACCCAGGCGTCCAGGCCGGTGCTCACCGCAGCCGTAGGCCTTGTTGGCCTGCATGGTGTGGGCGGCGTCCTTGGCGGCTTCCTTGCCGATGAGGTGACTGTATTTGTCCTTGTAGTCGGTGTTGGGGTTCACCACGGCGGGGCCCCTCAGTGCCTCCTGCTCCGCCTCCCTCTGAGCCAGCTCCTGGGGGGGGGAGGGGTGGGAAGTGGGTGTGTGAAACGGTGGGGGGGAGACACAAGGGGACATGCCCCCACCGCGCCCACCCATGCCGGTAGGCCCCACCCACCCAAAGACACGCCCCATACAGAGAGGAGGTGATACCTTGGCCCCGCCCACCCAGAGAAAGACACGCCCCCTACAGAGACGGAGGTGAGACCTCGGCCCTGCCCATGGGGAAGACCCCCCTCCCCACAGTCCTGCCCACCCAAGGACAGACAGGGAACCCCCCAATATCCCCCCAGCACAGCCCGGGGCGGGCCCCACGCACCTTGAGGCGGCGTTTCTCCTCAGCCCGCTGTGGGTCCCAGTCCTCCCCGCAGCGATAGGCCTCCAGCTCCTCGTCCGACGGGGCGAACTCCTGGGGGGCAGGGGCAGAGCGTGAGCCGGCCCCGGGGGCTTCCCGCACGGTGCCCCCACCCGAGCCCCAGCCCCACAGCGCGAGGGGGCCAGGACGCCTGGGTTCTGTCCCTGGCTCTGGGAGAGGAGTGGGGGCTGGTGGGTTAGAGCAGGGGGGCTGGGAGCCAGGACTCCTGGGTTCTCTCCCCGGCTCTGGGAGGGCGGGGGGGGGCGCTCACCTTCTTAAAGATCATGACGTAACGACTCTCCTCATCGTCACCGAAGGAGAAGGACGTCAGACCGGCCACTTCCACCACGTCGTGCCTGGGACGCGAGTGAGGGGAGAACTCGATTTACTGACTCATGGAGCAAACGTTCCAGGGGCCAGACCCACAGACCCCTCGCCCGGCGCGGAGACGCAGCCACCTCTGGGGCGGGGCGG